AAACAAACTCTGCAGTCTCTCCCAGGCGAAATGCATTTAGAGTATTCAATGTCCCTTGAAGTATTTTATATCGTAGTTGCTTGTGATTAATTGTGGGCAAACATTGTCGTCATCATCATCGTCAGCATCAGCTTTACCATCCTCTTCTTTTCAACTCTCCAGAATAACTTTAAGTTAAGTACTGATATATATGATTATATATAAAATGACAATACAAAGCATCAACAACCATCCTAGCAGCCCTATAGCAGAGCTTTGAGCTAATTTCAGCATGCTAACATCGGCCTGCTAACATGCTAAAATTGGTATGGTGTACAAACCTTCCACAACAAAGCAATAGTTGTTGAAATATTCAATGAAAACCAAACATGTCAAGCTCATGGTGACATTAGAAAAAGGGTCTGGGGATCACCACACTGTTCAGGATTCATCATCTTGGGACCATGAATGTGCAAAATTTCATGGAAGTCATGGACAGACCAACAGTTCCTTCCATATAGCCATGCCTCTTACAAGGCTAAAAATCCCAAACTGGTTTGAGCTTCTCCAAGGTGAGGATTCACTGCTTTTTTCTACTTTACATCAGTTAAAACTGAATACTTTTGAGTTTTAGACAACTGGTTGGAGACACTTTGAAGATGTCACCTTTATAGACAAAATGATTCACATTTCACTGACTAAATGAATAATCTAAAAATGATGATCAACTGATTAAACAATTATTAAATTATTTGCTGGCCAAATTTGTATTGATTATCAAATGGCTTTACAGTTAATGGACAATCCCTATTGTTCCACTATTTCATACCTATTTAGCAGACATTAGCATTCCTTTTGCAGTTTAGCTGCCCCCCCCCCTTTAACTCAGATGAGCCGGTGGTTGTTGTGGTTTGCCCCCTAGGCTTGGAAAAATGAGCTTGTCTTATTGAAAATGTTTGACCTCTGTCTCTGTCTCTCCTCTGGAAGTCTGAGCTGTTTTTCTGTGGCTTTATGACTAAGCCCGACTCCTTGTCTTGACATGGGTGTTGCCTTTTAATTAAAAGAGCATGGGTCTGCCTTTAATTGGAATGATAGCGTGAAGAAGAATGATTTGACCTGTCTGTGTAGGGGGAAGCTACAAACAATGTGTCTGTAGGATATCCATAGCTATTGTCTCTCTTAAGTCTTTACCTTAACACTATGACCACAGCTGCCTACTGGGACACATGACTCCTTCCTACTTTGCAGCATTCCTCTATTCTATTCTCCCTCTCTGCAGCATGTGACCTGACCAGTTCAACCGTGTTTTGTGACTTGTTGGGCTTGTGACCCCCTGTGAAGTTTCAGGAAGATGAAAATGTTATGATCAGTCCTTAACAGCTTCTCATGGTATACTTTTCATCTCTGCTGGTACCTAAAGTTTGTGTGCATTGAGGGAAAGTTGTCCAGAAGACAATCACTGCAGGAAGAAGACGCAACCTAAAAAGCAAAGCCCACAAAACAGCACCCAGTAACCCAAAACGGGGAAGCTGGCCTAAAATCCTTCAGAGGATGTGGCTGAGTGCTTTTTAAAATCCACTTGTTTTGTCAATGTACTGGCAGTGGCACCTTTCAAATTCCAAACAGGGCTGCTCATAAATGGGTTTCCTTCCTCTACAGCTACCCCTGACTGGGGGTAGAGAGGTGCATCAGGGGCGGGAGGGACCTTCAGAGATTCCCCCGCGTGTTGGACTTGAAAGTTTCTGTCTCTGTGAACTTTACATCAAACGGCCATGGGCTGCTGTTGGCTCTTTGAAGTGGCAGAGGGGAGGTTCAGAGCTGAATACGGGCCTCTGCCTCGACATGTTCTGGTTCAAAATGGACTCTGTCGTGGTGTAAAAACAGCTCAGCTAAAGGTCTGCTGAGAATGGCACAAGATCAAGGCTAAGGACTTATCTCTCAGTTACCATTCCTGTCACATATATAAGGATCTATAGACACACTATGGTGTTATACTACGCAGTTATTTAGTTTTCTCTCTCTCAGATTAGTGTTTTTTTACAGGCCTAAAACGTCACAAAAGTAGATAGACACTCAACTGTTAATGCTATTGCTACTGCTACTTCAACAACTAAACTAAAGTTCATTTTTGGTGAGATACCATGTGTCATAAGCACTGAAAACAGGAAATATGTGTAGCTATTTGCAGTAAATGCTCAATATTGTCGCTTCACGACGAAATGTAATTTCTAGTTTTCCCACAAATCTAATTTGAATTCTGTCCACTCATCCTTCTGACATCACAGAGATGGCACCCTTTATTGCTATTTCATTACATTTTACTTTCCTTTTCTATTGCTGTGTCACTGCATCACTCCGAATCCTAATATATCATAATACATATTGTATATATCCAACAAGATCTTTTTTTTTAAAGTAATGTCTTTACATTTACTAATTTTTACATTTTAATACAACATCTGTGTAACTTTTGGTTATATTTCAAAGCAACCTTTGAGCACATTTAAGAATGAAAAACTAATATGTCAGTATAATAACAGTAGGCTCGTAATACTAATACTATGATGCTGCTGTAACTGCTAGTGCCATCTTCACTACATCTATGCTATTGCAACTTTTACTCCCACTATATTACCTCTACATTGCATTCACTAATAAAGAGACAGAAACTGAGGTTATGTATAAAATAGCCTATTAAACTATCAATTTTAATGTAATGTTTACATGTAAATGTGGATATTGGTGTTTTGTTTTATTCTGTAGAGATTTACAAATTTTCCAGACGGGCACAGGGACCATGAGGACTCCTCAGACAGAGGGGGGCCGGGCTCTCGTTTTCCCATGCACCACCATCTACTGACATTGGCCACTGCTCCACATTAAACACCCCGCATTCATAAAACAGAAAAAAGAAAAGAGGAACCATCTGACAAGAGCAGCGTCCACTGGTATAGCTGCCTCACTGTTTATTGCGCTCAGCACGTCGCCAGGACACAAGCCGCACAAACTTAGAGGAAAAATGGCCAAAAGTGAGAGGCAAAGAAGAAGTTTGAAGAGTGAGGAGTTCTTTTTTGACTCCGAGGCGTCTCTCTTGGATCAGCAAGATTTCGAGATGTCTAGTTGCCCTTTCAATGACGTCTTCAACTCCAAAGACTCCCACATGGAGCAGATCAACACTTTTCTGAAAAATGTACAAGTTTTGCTGGAGGCTGCTCGGTTTCTTGAGAGCGCCGAGAGGAAGGACGGAAGTGAGTTTATTTTGTGCTGCGTTTGATCCTTTTCATTTGCCTCTAAATTTCAGGAAAACAAGACTTCATTGTCAACAGACTCAGACAACAAAGGGCTGAGTTCATTCAACTAAGCACCACTGCCTGCTATAAGCACAGCCTATGCCTGGGCACCAGACTAATATGAGTAATGCACTCATTGCAGTTACAGGAGCGTGTAAACGTAGATGCTTTCATTATTTTCGGGACTATTTTTATCTGCATTGTCTGCATGATGGGCACTGTGCATCGCTTTGCGTCTGCACAACTCTCAACCCAGGAATCTGTAATTTCCCCCCGCAGCATAGATAGAGCAATATGACATAATGATGAGGTGTGTGGGTGTGTATGTTGGCTACCACTCCGATGTGATAAATCTGACCACATTGCAGCGCCCTCCAACTCAGTTTAGGATGATGTCATTGTGTGTCCCTGCAGACTCAGTCGAAAAAACAGAAAACTTTATAGATAAAACGCTCAGGACACAATTGAATGGTGAATCAGACATTTATAAGATGTTTAATCTGCTTGTTTATAATTTCAAGCCTATAAGGAATTAAGCAACTCGATATAGCGTAGAATGTAGATGACATGATCTCTCAAATTGCAAGCAGACCCTGGCCTACATCTAATTAAATGAAAGATCATTTTAGAGAAATGCAATATTAAAGACGATTTTAAACTAATTAGTAACGATGTCCCCGTTTCCTTTTTAACAAGTCATGCTTTAAAGACACTTGAAAATAGGCTGTTTTTCCATCGCTTCCGTATGCGTCTGTCCATGCAGGGCTCTTTTCGTGCAAAGAGTCGGGCATAGGAGGTAATGCGTGCTGCAAAAGTAACAGTAATATCATCTATTATAATGTAACGTTGGAGTTTTGCAGCAGCACATTGCAGCGGCTACTCAGCTTCTCCTTCTCTCGATTGTTTGCTTCCTGCTATGTGTGGGCGTGCCGCACTGGTTTCCACATGGCGCAAAGCTCCTCTGCAGTTGGTCAGACGAGAGCTCAACCCTCGACGCCTGTCAAAGCCATCCGCCAATCAGACGCCCGCTCAGTAGCGACGTCACGTGTTGCTGGGCCTGGCTTCAGCCGGCAAGTACACCCCCTAGGTCCTGGTGAATCACGGGATTTGTAGGGTTGCAGGGGAGAGTGGCGATTGCTCGTGAGGGGAATAAAAGACACACAATGAATACTTGTGTTTAGTCCGTTACTTATCAACACCCTCGATCGAGTAATTCATTATCGGTGGCCTAAATAAGATAAGACTGGCTTTTTTTTTGTTATTGCAAAACACACAAAAACAAACAGTTCTCATACAATAGCCTATTACTAGTCGGACACCTGAAAATAATGTTGAGTATTTCAGTATTGTCATTCATTTAAATAGTTCTTATTCATTGTCATTTGTTGAAGCAATGGCCTATATTGAATAATAATAATCACCACATTATTTATAAGTAAATTCTGCAGACCTTTGGACTTTCCCCGTCCCATGCAATTACCCGTTAAACTGACCTCCTGTGATAACAATTGAATTATTAAGAAAACACGGACGATGTTTCAGCTGGTAAATGACGGTGAAGTCAGGCTAAGTCATGAAAGTATGGAATCTTGTGCGTGTTTGACTTTGATTTTACAAAATCACCGAAAGACTTGGTATCCCAGAATGCATCGCAGTTAGACCGGCCTCTCCTCCGCTAGATCCCCGCCTCTCAGCTGTGCAGCTAGGTAAACAAACAGGAGAGGAGAGGAAACGAGCAGCGGCAGGCACTTCGCTGGCTCTGGGTTCCCTCGGGGAAGTTTTATATTGTTTATATCCATTTTTGTAAACATTTAATATTGTGTTTCCTAGAAACTTTTAATACTTTGATACACTGGTTTTGACATTTTCTAACAACGAAACCTGGCAAGAATTGGCTATAGCTTGCTAGCTTGGAAACACTGGATTTTTCCGTCTCTTCTTTTGACAAAGGCTGCTGATGAGCCAGCGAAGATACTGAACAAGATAATAATACGGCGTTTTTAAAGCACCATTTGGTGTAGTAATAACTGATGCACTGTCTTCCCTGTATTTAAAAGCGACCGGTCGTTGCTGCTGTTTGCGAAGCTAACGTTAAACGCTGAAGGGAACATAGCTAACGTTAACGGCAGCCAGCCTCAGGAGAGAATGACGGCTGTTCAGCTGATAAATATCCAACGGTTACTGGAAGCTGCGGAATATCTAGAGAGGAGAGAAAGAGGTAATTATTTATTCAAATGTGTGTAAAAGCTGAAAAAAGTCATTGTCAATAAACAGCACTGACATCCTCCATGCTTCGTTGGCTGCTTGAAAGTAGGTAACGTTGTTGCTGTTTTACAAAAGAAGTGTCCACATAAGCCTAAGGGACTGTAGCATACGGTCGAGTAAAAAGTGTCCAAACTCGCCCAAGGCTGACTGTTAACCACTTTTGTTTCAACAGAGTGTGAACACGGATATGCTTCGACATTTCCGTCAAATCAGAACACAAACTACCAGAGGCAAAGAAAATTCCGAAATAAGAAGTTCAGCAGTAACCACAATAGGTAAGAAACTGATCTTTTTCATGGTGTCATCCCTGGTATATTGTGTGGGTTCTTTTATCAATGCTATTTGTAAAATTGCTGTCAATGACAGATGTCATTTAGTTAAACTGTCTTCTTACGTGATGTACCGGGATGACGGGTGTGTTGCAGGCAGCATTTGATTACATACATACACTCGCTGCCTATACTTTATTGCAATGTTTGGTAAACAAGCGAGCTGTCACCAAAGGGTGAATACAGTTGCTGTCTCTATTTACAGGATCCAGAAAACACACTTTCTGTGTAAAAAGAAAGTTGGCAAATTTAAAATGAGATGTTTTCTCAAACCTGTAGGGGCGTGTTTAATTGTTAGGTGCACATATGATCGTCTACACCGCTGTGTTGCTGGCTTTGGGGGAAGGGGGCAGCAGCAACGGCTCTGCTAGCTTTTCATCAGCTGATTGTCAAACGGACTGCAGTGGCTGAGGTTAGGGATCGTCGTAAAAGTGACGGCTTCAAAACGAAAAAAGTGGAATCTAATGTTAAGTGGTTCGCTCGTCCCTGACTAAATAAAACCATAACACATTGCTTTATTTAAAAGTGAGTTATTGTTTTAGGTTTTGGTGGTACTTGTGCTCATTTTTTCGCATGCCACGTGTATTCTACACTGTGGGAGAGAGGGATAGTTTTGTCTTTTTCCCTGAAGGGGAAAGGCTGCTATTTATGGCTGGTGTTGTTTGCAGACATCCAAAGGTGAATACATAGAGCCTTTTTCAGGACTAATGATATTTAGTGTTATCAGTAATTTGCAGTTTTACCTCTATATACAGATATATCCTATAAAGAAAAGCATGGATACCCTTTTTATATGCATCAATTGAAAGCTGTTGATGTTGTGGAACATAAGTTTGATAATCTATTCTGTTGTGTTTCTTTATGTAACACTGTCTGATAATCACATCATTAGCTGCCACAAAGATTAAGGCCCTTGTCCAGCACAGTGCTTTCACTGATGACAGAAACTTGCATTTAGTAGTCAGAGAAGTAGGCGAGAATCTCCCAAGTTAGAAGCCATTGGTATTGTGTTTTCTCTTGGTGCTAGGCTGCTTACATTAATCTGTCCATTGACAGTCATACATCAAATGCAAGCCCCACTCTCTCTCTCCCTCTCTCTCTTTCTGAACCTTTTAATATTAATGTAAGAGCGGGCCACAAACAGGAACTGCGTATTACTCATCACGAGCGCATAACGCTGCCTAGTTCTGCATAGCAACAGTCATGATCAGATATAGGTCTGAGGCCATATTCATAACGCTTCCTAAGGTTTTGTCCTAATGGGGAAATCTAGAAGAAAGCATCAATAATTTTTTTTTAAAAGATAGCTAATTTAAATGGTAGCAGTAAGCTGCCAGTAAAACAGCTTCTATTGTGAGCAACTTTGAGAGTGGAGAGGGGCACTTTTGAAGGATTTTCATATGCAGGAGAGAAATGACTGGAACAAGCACAGACTGTTCAGCAGTGATGTTTGTTGTTGGTCGTGATCTCCACAGAGACACGTTCACAGCTCACTTAGTGAGGTAACACCATTTAGCATCTAACACAATTTCTCAGCCTCATATTGCGATGCAGTTCCTTTTATACCCACTGGAATAGCACACTTTGCAAACCAACAAAACAGCATTATTTGTATATACCCAGGCTGTCAGGGTCACTGGGGCACATGTGTGTGTCACTAGTGGTCACTAGTGGTTTGCCAGCATAGGTGAGAAATCTTGCTAATTATTCCAAGCTATGAGCCATTTTCACCACTTCACAATGTCAGATTACAGTGTCCACAGAAATAAATGCATTACTAATCAGCTAGAGAGGTCTGAATGACAAACTCAGATGAAGATTTCATTATTGACAAATGATGGTGTCCAAATGAGAGCATCGTACCGTCCTGTTCATTCCCCACTTACAGCATTAATGTTAATCTGAGTTTTTAGAGATTATGATAATACATTCATTTTAATAATTACATTTACTTGACATTTTGTTTAAACACATTTTGCTTTCTGGCACTAGCTTGCTCCAGCTTTAGCTACGTTCTCAGTAGCATGTTGAGGCTTAAAGTGATGAGCTTATCTGACTCTGTCCTCTCTTGCCTACCGTTTATAGCAGAGTTGCTTTATCTCATTGACCCACTCTGTGTGTGCGTAAACATTCACATACAGACACACTGTATGCATGCATGCCTACATAAGGAAACATACTGCGGTTGCGTGTGGCCTCAAGCCAATTTATAATCTGTATTGCATTGTTGGTTAGGTCCAGACATGCAGATATCTGATTCAGGAGGCAGGGAGAGGGGTTTGTGATTATAAAAGCCTTTGGGAAAGCAAGCTGACTTAGATTGATCTCTCCGAATAAGAGGCCATACTAAGATGTAGTGTTTGTGTTTGTGGAGTGGCTTGGACCAGGGCGGAACCAAGGGCTGTTTCATTTTCAGTTTAATAAACAGTGTAAGTGACATCAGCCTTTCTCTAAAATTGACTTCCAGTTCTATATATAATACATGGATAATAATGGAGCTTTCACACTTTCTTCCTCACTCTCTGCATTATCACCACCTGTTTTTACCTACCAACATGTCTATCGCTGATGACACACTGTTGTTTGAGATCATGCTGTCATTTCTAAGATGAAGCAGTCATTTTGCAACATACTTGGTGCACTGCTTGACATTGCCACAATTGTAATAGTTCATTATTCTTAAAGAGGGACAATCAGCCAAAAAAGCCAACATTATTACACACCGCACTGAATCACGTTGTAGTAAAATGCTCAGAGTTTGGAAAAGATCACAAATTTGGATGCAGGTTACCAAGCAACACAAACTACAGTGACAGCTGATGACGCAAATTATGCACTCCACAGTACTCATCTTCTGTTAGCAATACTATTTCTCTGACTCATAGTCAGTTACAGAAATCAGTGGATCCACTGCCATTTGAGAGTATACTGTATAATCTATGTAAAAGCCTGCATTCAACACAAGAATGTAGATGCTCATTTTCCCACTAAAGGAGTAATTTTGGAACTAAGATGAAGTTTTTCAGGGAAGTAGCTGAGCAGAAAAGATCAAACTGGTTTAAATGCATCATCTTTCTGATTTTTTAATGTGTATGGTTGGTGTGATGCAGAGCACACTCATGCATGACTATTACATTGATGTAGAATATGTAAGTAGAAACCTGTCAAGAGCATGCGTGTGAGCACTTAGGCTCTCGCAGGTTTTCAGGAAATGGCCTATGTGATCCGTGTGTTTTGCTGTGATAGCAGCTACTCAACATGGCCATAAACCATGTCATGTTAAATCAAATATACTGCCACATTTAACTTAACAGTCTTGCATACCCAACTACATGAACAGTAATGTATTCTAATGGGGCCATATGGTGTTTTTATCGGTGTAAATAATTAAACTTGAAAGAATAATTTCCTCTGAGGCAGGGTCAATTTTTACAGACTGAACCGCAGCCTTGGACAGTCTGTAGTCCCTGTCTGTTATCCCTCTCTACATCCTTCCCTTCCCATTCTTATCTCCTGTTTTCTCCATATTTCCTGCTTCCATATCAAAAAGATGGCAGCTGAGCTCAGTATTAAAAGAAAAAATAGATCAGGAAAGTGTATCACAGTATTGATAACCCATAATATAGAGAAATGCTGTGTGCATGACTCAGGAGAGCTGCACACACACACATACCCCCTGAAAACCTGTGCCCCCTGAGGCGAAGTGGAGTGCAGTTTGTGTAGATGGGAACTCGGTCATTTAAGTATCAGGAGGAGGGCTTGTCTCCCTTCAGTATGTTTCTACACAAAGACACTCTTAGGGACCAGCTGATTCAATTTACATTATTAACAGAGCACTGAACCTTGGCTGCTGCATGTAGAGGAAATATGTGTGTGTGCACATGTGTCTGCGTGCGTGCGTGCGTGCGTGTGTGTGTGTGTGTGTGTGCACGTGTGTGTGCCTGTGTGCAGCAACACACAGGCACACACACATGCAAATTGTGAACTTTAGTGAGCGTAATTGGCTGCAGTGTCGCACACACACACACACACACATGCGCACACATGCATCCTCCCAGAGTTGTGCTGTACATTATTGAGGAAGAGGCTGTATAATGCTACAGTGCATGCCTGCCTGTCAAGTTTGTTAGTGTGAAGGCTCCAGTGCACTGGGTCTGGAGTTGGTCTCATTTGGGATTAATTAATAAATTCATAAATCAAATTGGACAAGCTACTTCACTGTGTCTCTCCCAGCCACTGTCTACCACATGTAGTTATTATCCTAATATTAAACCCTATTTCCCCAGAATTAATTCCCTTTACAGGAGGAACAGATACTGTAGGTCTGTACCTTGCTTGTTAAACGTGTGAAAGAAATGGGCTCTTTATTTGATAACTTCTGTTTTCTGTCTTTGCAGGTCCACACATAATGAGCTGGAGAAGAACAGGTGAGTTGGCATTACAATTTCAAAAAACTTCACCTTTAAATCATAGAACACAGCCTACAGGCACATACACGTCCTGCCCTGACATGTGAATGAGTCCATCATGTCCTACTTTCATTTTGCCCCACATCATTTTTTGGCCTTCTTCAAATAAGCACTTCCTCTTCAACAGGTCCTTAAAAACAAAAGTAAGAGGTGACCCTGTTGTTGCCAGTTAAGGACATTCCCTCTTCTCTTTTCACCTTGTTTCCCCCTCTCGTGCACACAGGCCTTGCACCTAGAGTTATGCAACAGTTTGGCTGCTTGGGGCTCTTGAGTTATATGGGCAGACGAGGGTGCATGAAGTCAGAGCTGAAACTACATTCAAAGGCTCAATGCTTGTTTTGATACAAAGATGTTTTTTGATTGGTATGTATTTGTGGCACCAACGTAAGCCCTACGTCTGGAAAAAATTTTCTTTCAGTTGCTTTCACGCCTGAGCATAGTTCTATGCTGAGTTATATCTCTGCATTCAAGATAGTATCTACAGTGGAAGAAATGTGGGGTATTCAGGGACACCTTGGCTTGTGATGGTTTTCCACATCTTATTCTGAAGTGAGTGAACACTGGTTTCTTAGAAGCCCTTATCAGATTGAGTCAACCACCCACATAGGTGGCTTGTTCATGTTCTGTGACTTTGCAGGCTTCAAGAGTCAAGCTGTAAAGGGTTCTCTTCAACACCATAAATAAGTGCGACTAGACTTGCAGGATTTATGGTAAATAGAAAAAAAGCTTGCCTTCCATTTCATTATCTCTGAGGGTGTGGGTACAATGAAAGGATGTGGGAGGCTCGATCCATTCAGTGTAATTACATATCACCTCGGCCTGTTTTTCTCACCATTCTCCCTGGCAGCCTCTTCTAAAAGGATGGGAACATTGGAAGGAGAGGCGTCCAGTGAGTTAAATATAGACAAGAGTTGATGTGTCATCTTGGTGCTCATATGCGATGCCACACAAGGCCAGCCGGTCGGCTGACTGGCCTCGGCAGATTGCAGCACCCATGCGGGGTTGCATTTTTTTTCCCAGTGTTCCACCCACACAAATACATTTCAAAAAAAGGTGCCAGGGCAGTTGTTTGTTCCTACAACACAGTGTGAAGGGTGTTTTCGTCAGTCCTTCCACATTCTTGCAGCCATTCTTTGTAGTATGGCCTGTTTCTATGGCCATTTATGGCCTATAATCATCTCTGCCAATCAGAGCAGACTAGTGTAAAGCCTGTAGATGGCAGGACAGAAGGAATAGGTGCTAGCTTGGTTGTAAATGGTGGCATAGCACTGAAGATTGCTGTAGAGTTATCAACCATTAGAGAGATCATTAATTCAGCAGTGGAATGAAACTCTAGGCATAATAAAACTGATGGAGCCAATGTAATGTAAAAAGAGACTACCATACTTATTTGTGTGTTTGACTACAGTTTTCATTCCTATCATGCAACATCCTTTGAAACTTGCATCCCCCGTCTCCTCCTTTTCCTGGCTGCACTTTGCTGGTCCATGCAGCCGTGCAGACTCAGAGAGAGCTGCAGAAGAATAGAGTGGTCTGGGAACAGGCCGTCCTGTACCACACTGTACGTCATCCAGATACTGACACCCTGCCCCCCACTCCCACCCCGCACTTTTGTCTTCGTTTTCAGCTCAACATAGTGAACGTGGTGTTGTTGCTTAGAAGTTGAACAGTACAAAACTAATTCGAATTTCCATTAGCAAAGAAAGAGGGTAAAAATTGAAATGGTAATCCATCTTTTTAGAAGCACACTTAAAGTCAGAATCGTTTATAATCCCCCCCCTTTTTTGCCAACAGTTAATCCAATTCCCTTTAAGCACATGCCCCACTGTAAGCTATATGTATCAGGCATAGTTGTTCACCCAAGTGTGTCAGGCTTATACTATGATTCTACAACAGCAGCAGCAGCAGCTTTCGTTCCATCTCAGCAGACTTCCAAGTCTTGTAAATTGGAGGCAGCTCCTTTATGGCCCAGCCTGACTGAGGCCTTTTTTAAACACTTATCAACCCTGTATATCTGCTGCTGGCGCGACGATTTGCCTTGCATGGCTGCTACAGGTCTTGATAACCTCTGTGACAAGCAGACTCGTCGTGACAGCGGAGACCACAGGACACGGATAAAAGGCACAGAGGAGGAGGAAAGAAAAAAAAAAAAAACACATTCCAGATGCTCATACTCTGTGGTGGGACCAGATAACGTGGTGGCTCTGCTGCTTTGATCAAGAACCTTGTAACAGCCCTATTTCACTTCCACATGTCACTACTAAATTACAGTGCCTTAGTGGGGCTTAACAGTAAAAAGCTTGTATGTCTGCATGTTGCAGTTCCACAGCTTTAATTTCACAGTCTTCCGCCCATTAGTCCTTTTTCTTTTAAACATGTTGATAACAAATTCCTCAGCTCAGGTTAGTTGTTAGTTGATCCTTGTTTTTTTATGTGGAGGATGTGTTTTACAGTAAATGACTAAGTCATGGCTCAGAGTGGAATATGTTGTTTTTTTCCCTTTTGGATGATGACTCTGTTTATGGATAATCAATACAATAAGCTTTTACTTGCTACAATAAATCCACAAGAACGGTTACTTATCATTTACCCTCCTCCTCCAACACAACCTATTCATTTTAATATTGTTTATTGAGGCCAGGCTTATAATACACATGGCAAATAATTTTCCCCCACTGCACAGACATGAGAAGCAATATTAGCTTTTCTGCTTGATTTTTTTTTTTTTTTTTTTAATGAGGGGAGTTGGGTAAACAATGTGTGTTAAACACCTTTCAGCATGTGCCTGTGGAATATTAAAAAGGCTCACTGTTGCCCATCAGAGTCATGAGTCTGATGTCCTTGGGTGCCATGTAAGGAGCATCCATGAGGTTTGCCCTTTCGGGATTTTTTTGGCTCTGTTGTTTGTGAAATGGTAAATGAAGGTAGTCACGCCTCATTTGCAATTAACTTTGAGTTGACGTGGGTGTGCTCAAATGTCATTTTTATTTTTGTACACTTGCGTGAGAAGGTGTCTCTCTCGTTGCAAAGTATATGAGTTTATCGGGATTTACTGTATGGTCAGATTTTTATCTAACTTAAAAATAGCCAACTAAAAGTAACTGTTACAGGCTGGTGTTACGCAGTGGTTTTAAAAACATACACTCCAGGCAAGATAGCAAAACTCACCACTGAATATCACTAGAATAGGTGTCACATTTTCCAAATGGTACATACCTCTGTTGGGATTTAAGCCCTTTATGCTTTTCTATTCTTTCTAACCAGTGGGATATAAACTCACTACTGTTGTTCCAGCCTTGGGGTTGAATGAGCAGTCAAACATGAATAAGCCTGGGCTACATTTTCTCTGGCTGTGCTGATGCTCCATGAAGAAAGCCAAACTGCTTCACCAGTCTTTCTGTTGTCTGCCCAGTGAGTGCAGCCTATTCTCAGGCTCTGCTGCAGGGCCTGAAACTGGGACCATTTGTTCTGACCAACGTGACGACTTGTAAGCTTTTCTTGGCTCAGAAAAGCAGCTTAAGGGACTTGATCTTTGGTCTGGTGAGCCCAGCTAGAGCACGCACACGTGCTGGGGCATACCCCTCACCCAGGCCACCCGATGCTAGTTCTTAACACCCTAGCTTGGCTTTGGCTTAGCCAACGATGGTGTCAGAGGACAAGGAAGTAATTGACAGGCTGATGGGATGAGCAGAGGGATAGGTCAAACACACCTGACTAAGGGATGCCTTGAGCAGCACGCAAGCCTGATCCACACTCCCACTGTGTCAGTGTGTGCACAGTGAGCATTTCCGACCTGTAATTAACACAGTGAGACATGTGCCCGTATCGGGGTGGGTAAATTCACACCAGCCACCACAAACATTCAGATGGTGACAAATTGTGGCTGTGGCTAAAAGTCTGCCTCCTCTACCAACTAGTGTGGCAGGTGCCCAGCTGTAATGAGGAGGACATGTTCTGTTTTTCAAAGTTTAGTTCACTCATAAAACAGTGAAAGTACCGTTTTCAAGCTGTGTTTAAGTTGTGTAGGCTTCAGCCAACATGTAAGTACTGGTGCAAAACAGGAATGTACATATTCTCCTCAGCCAAGACGGCTACAGTACATAAGACAAGATATTTGCGTTTTCTCTTGTGCCATGTGTTGTGTGCAGCTCTGAGTTGTGGTGGAGGAGGAGTAAATTACCCTTCACTGATGTACCTTACCCACTGGGTTGCCAGGTCTCTATAAGACCAACACCTCCTTTAGCTGCTTCTTACAGTAAAAGCGTCTGAGCTTGGCATACGGCAGTTTTCTTTATGAATTAGTATGTTATATGGAGTAGCATAATTTTTTATTATCCACAATCAACTCATTTATTTTCCTTGTGCTGTACTTTCAATATCAAATGCCATCACCGGAGATTGAGAAGTGCCCAGCGAGAACTCTGATGCAAGGACTCCAGACTTCTACAATTCTGTGAATACTGTACATCATGACATTCCCACTGGCTTTCTGTCAGATGGTTGAAGGCGGTGTAAAATCAGAGGTCACCATTGTTTTGCCTCACATCCTCAGAATCCATTCCCACACAGATGTTCTGTAGACAGGTGTAAAGAAGGGCTCACATGGGGGACTAGATGTCGGCACTTGAAGGCTCACCCATCACTCACATCTCACTCCTCTGACCCTTGACTCATCTTATCTCGGCGCCGTCTTGTTGTGCCCTTATCCTGCAAAAATGCATCCATACAGCATTCTGTGGAAGGACAGTGTAACCAAACGGAATAAGGCCTGACGGGCATGCAGGCTTAGTCAGCAGGTTTAAGCCAGGGCTGTCTGACTCAGGAGCTTGTGTTAATTCTAGCTAACTGAAATAGGAATATTTTCAGTCAAATCAATTTGTTTGTAGGTGTTCAAATTAATAAGCTTGTTCAGGCTCTACTACAATATTCTGCAAAGTGCTCAGTCTCTCCTACACAGT